AGAGAGAGAGAGAGAGAGAGAGAGAGAGAGAGAGAGAGAGAAACAACAGGGAAAAAGGTAGGGAAAAGGAGGGAGGGAGACAGAGAGACAGGGGACAGATGGAGAGGGAGGGAGAGACCAATCAAGATGGTGTTTGGATTTGTCTTTATCAATGTTTACTTGTTTATTATTATATTTAAAATTGATTTATGTCACTCACTTCAACATGAAAAAAAGAAAAAAAAAAAAAAAAAAGGTTTATGACAAGAGCAGAAAGAGCTCAAAGTTGTTGTTGTTTTTGAAGATTCACTTCCTTTGGAGGGTGGAGTGGGGTGGGTGTTGGGAAAGAAGACACAGGTCACATATTTCAGTACACTGGAAACTCAAGAGTTGATAGCTATGCTGGATGTCCAGTGTTAAGTGACCACTGGATGAAAATGAACACAGAGAAGGGAACAGAAAGGTTGAGTCAGGTGTAGATTAGAAGAAAGAATATGTGAAAGGTAGGGTTTAGTTGGGGGGGGAGTGATAGTAGGGGAGGGGAGGGAGAAGGGAACTGGGATTGTCATGTAATTCAATCGTGTTTGTAACTCAAATAAAACGAAAAAAAAAAACAGAATCCAAATTCAATCAATGAAATGGGAGAAATATTTGCAAACACAATCTCTGAAGGAAAGTTAATACTGAAATGAAATTATATAAAGGATTTATATTCTCACTATCAAAATGAAAATAAAATCTATAAAAACATCTCACAAATACCCAAAACGTAAATTGAATAGACAATTGTTCACCAAAGAAGCATTAATGGCAAAAAAGTATAAGGAAAGATATTCACCAACACTAATCTCCAGAGGAACATAAGTCATAGTCATGAGATATTATCTTAATCTTGATGGGATTACTAGGATGAAAAATTTTAAACGCTTGTAAGTATTGGCCAAGGAAGTGACAAAACTGGAAATCATATGACCATATGATGGTACAGCTGAAATGAAAAACTGTGGAAGTGACTTAAAACATTACTGATCTAATAATCACACATATTAGTATACATCCCAAACAATTAAAGTAAGTGTCTTGAAAAGCTATTTGCATCCTTCTTTTCATTGTGATATTGTAACAAAATAAGTAAAATGTGTAAACAAGCTTATATGTCTATTATTTAATGGCTACATTATGCCCAGCTGATATTTAAATATAATGGAGTATTATTTATATGCACCACCTGGTAAATTTTTAAATGGGGTAACATGTTCAGCATTTGAGAACACAAAAGATTAAACTTCTCAGAAGCTCAAGGAATGTTTTCGAAATGACCTTGAAGATTCCCCATGGAAGACCTCACCCTCCCTAGGAAGCAGAAAGGGGATGAGATGGGGGGTCCATGGAGGGCATGGGAGGAGGGGAGGGAGAGGGAACTGGGATCCACATGTAAATGAAGTTTGTTTCCAATTTAAATATAAAGGGAAATCAATGGGATAAAAATTGGAAAGGAAGAAGTCAGAATTTCATTATTTGCAGATGATATGACAGTCTAAATAAGTGACCAGAAAAACTCTACCAGGGAACTCCTACAGCTTATAAACACCTTCAGAAAAGTGACAGGATACAAGATTAACTCAAAAGAAAATCAGTAGCCCTACTATATGCAGATGATAAATGCTCTGAGAAAGAAATCAGAGAAACATCACCCTTTACAATTGCCACAAACAACATAAAATAACTTGGGATAATGCTAACCAAAAAAGGGAAAAACCTGTATTATAAGAAATTTGACTCTTTAAAGAAAAATAAGAAAAATAACCAAAAATGGAAGATTCTCCCATGTTCTTGGATAAGTAGGATCAACATAGTAAAAATGGCAATCTTGACAAAATCAATCTCCAGATTCAATGCAGTCCCCATCGAAACCCCAGCACAATTCTTTACAGACATTGAAAGAACAATTCTCAACTTTATTTGGAAAAATAAAAGACCCAGGATAGCCAAAACAACCTTATACAGTAAAGGATCTTCTGGAGGCATCTCTATCCCTGACTTCAAGCTCCATTATAGAGCCATAGTACTGAAAACAGCTTGGTATGGGCACAAAAGTAGATAGACTAATGGAATCTAATTTAAAACCCCGTTATTAACCCACACACCTACAAACAAGTGATTTTTGACAAAGAAGATAAATTTATACAATGGAAAAAAGAAAGCACTTTCAACAAATGGTGCTGGCATAACTGGATTTGGACATGTAGAAGATTGCAGATAGATCCACATCTATTGCCATGCACAAAACTTAAGTCCAAATAGACCAAAGGCCTCAACATAAATCCAGACACACTGAACCTCTTAGAATAGAAGGTATGTGGTACCCTCGAACCAATTGGCACCAGAGAACATTTCCTGAACATAACACCAGTAGCCCAAACACTGAGATTGACAATTAATATATGGGACCTCCTGAAACTGAAATGCTTCTGTAAGGCAGAGGACACAGTCAAAAAGACAAAATGGCAACTCCACATCTAACAGAGGGCTTATTTCCAAAATATACAAAGAATTCAAGTAGTTAGTCTCCAAAACACCAACTAATCCAATTAAAAAGTGGGATACAGAACTAAATAGAGAATTCTCAATAAAGGAAACTAAACAGGCTGGAAGACACTTAAGAAAGTGCTCATTATCCTTAGCCATCAGGGAAATGCAATCAAAAATACTCTGAGATACCATCTTACTCCTGTAAGAATGGGTAAAATAAAAAACACCGATGACAGTTTGTGCTGGAGAAGATGCAGAAAAGAGGGATCACTCCTCCACTGCTGGTGGGAGTGACACTTGGTACAGCCACTTTGGAAATCAGTTTGGCAGTTCCTCAGGAAAAATGGAGTAAATTTACCACAAGATCCAGGAATTCCATTCTTAGGCATATATCTAAAAGATGCACATTCATACAACAAGGATGTGTGTTCAACCATGTTCATAGCAGCATTATTTTAATAGCCAGAAACAGGAGTCAACCTAGATGCCCTTCAACTGAAGAATGCATGGAGAAAATGTGGTACATTTACACAATGGAGTACTACTCAGTGGGAATAAAAAACAATGGATTCTTGAAATTTGCAGGCACATGTATTGATCTAGAAGAAACCATCCTGAGTGAGGTAACCCAGTCACAAGAAGACAAAAATGGTATGTACTCACTCATATATGGATTTTAGATCTACAGCAAAGAAGTAGCATACTACAATCCACAATGCCAGAGAAGCTAGGAAACAAGAAGGTCCCTAAGAGAGACATATATGATCCCCTGGACAGGGGGAAATGGACAAGATCTCCTAAGCTAATGTGTAGCATGGGGCGGGGAGACAGGGTTAGAGGAAAAAGAAGGGGAGAAGAGGACATGAGGTAACAAGAAGATCTAGTCAGGGGAAGAATAGAGGGAGCCATTATAGGTTTAAAGAGAATTCTGGCACTGGGGGAATATCCTGAGATCTACAAGGTTGACCCCAACTAACAATCTAAGCAATATTTGAGAGGCTACCTAAAAGGCCCTTCTCTGATAAGGAGATTGATGATTACCTTATATGCAATCCTAGTGCCTTCATCCAGAAACTGATGGAAGCAGAAGCAGACACACACAGCTAAACACTGAGCTGAATTCTGGAATCCAGGTGCAGAGAGGGAGGTATCATTAGCAAAGGTGTCAAGACCAGGCTGAAGAAACCCACAGAAAAAGCTGACCTGAACAAGGGGTTGCTAATAGACCCAAGACTGATAGCTGGGGAATCAGCATAGGATTGTTCCAGACCCCCTGAAGGAGGAAGTCAGTTTGGAGATCTGAACAATCTATGGGGCCACAGGTAGTGTATCAATATTTACCCCTAGTACACAAATGAACTTTGAGAACCCTCTTCATATAGAAGGATACTCTCTCAGTCTAGACATACAGGGGAGCGTCTAGGTACTGCTCCAGATTATATGACAGACTTTGAAGATCCCCCAAGGAAGTCCTCACCCTCCCTGGGGAGCAGAAAGGGGTTGTAATAGGGAGGTCAGTGGGGGGGCAGGGGAGTTGGGGAGGTA